CGGCACTATTTTAATGCCTGGGGGGGGGGGGAGATAATTTTGTCCATTGTAGTTGAGTAATTGACTACACAAATTATGTGCGTATTTAAACTCAGTAAATATATCCCCACATGACCAATCAAGAATTACTAGTTCGTGGATCATTCCTTTTTTTTTTTTCCTAATGGCAAGAATTATGTTTTATAAGCCAAACATGTTTTGCAAAGGTGGAAATCATTCAAGATTCATTCTGCAAGGAAGGTTGATTATTTGTATCCCTTCTAATTACACCTGTTTTTGTTTTTGTTTTGTTTTGTTTTTTGGCATTTGGGCCATTTTATCTTCAGTGATCATTTCTTCTTATTTAGTGGAGAAAAGGTCTCATTAAGGTATGAACCATCTAAATATTTAACTTAGACTTGAAATACTATTCAGGGGGTTTGTTTGACAAATACTTTTTCCCTTCAAAATAATATACAAATACTTATTTTCAGAAACAGGTAAACTAATGATAATTCTGCATAAGCAACAGAACAGGTGGAAAAAATAAGAAAATATTATTCATCATGATGACATGTGAAGACCTAACACATATTAATCCAGAGAGTAGTAGCTGTACAGTATAATTCCTGTCTTGTCCAACACAGAGTTTCTAAAGGTTTCAATAGAAGGATAGGCCTTCTCAGCTTTCTTGCTAGATGAAGGCACTGCCAGGAAAGAAATAGGGGGTACATGTCTGGATAATTTTGAAAGGTCCTGCAGAGATTTCACTCACCAGTTTCCATTGTTGCCTTAAAGAATGAAACGATGTATGGCAAGCATTTTATAATTATATATTATGTAAAAACCTATGTTGTAAGAAATTGTAACTCAGCATACCTGTGGTGAGCCTGCTCTCAGCCATAGCAGCTTGCTAGTTGTTCAGATATCCATTCATACAGACAAAAAAAAAAAAAAGTCCAAACTGCTTACACCAGTGTTGTCCAAACTTGGCCACTTTAAGATGAGTGGACTTCAACTCATAGCTTCAAC